CTTTAATTATGCTTTGATTACCTGACCCAATTGTTCTGTTTTTATGAAATTTTTTTAGCCTGTCGCTTCCTTGTCCTAACAGAAGCTCCTAATCTCACATGGTTCACTAGTAGGAGCCCAGTCTCTAATCTCTCTCGATCACAAGTTCACTTCACTTCTCTAGCACATAAACTTGCGTTCCTTCACACACACACACATCCTTAAGCCACACCTCTTCCCCCATCCCCAGCCACATCACCTGATACACCTCCTCCCTACTCTACCACCGCCCCCCCCCCCGCCTCCCTATCTGTGACACGGAACTAGCAGGTTAATCAAGGTGATCACAAAGCCCAGGTGACAAGGATTAACACCTGAAAACCCTCCCTTCCTTACCACCAGCGGCAACAACACAGTGCTACACAACCCAGACCACATATACGATTTACCCATTACCTGACGTACGATTTTCGACCTTAATACCGAGGATGATTACGTTAATGATGTCTCTATCTGATACAGGTATGAGTAAGCATAATGGTCTTGTCTTCCTAAATGAGGAATATTTCAAAACTTTAGATCCAGGTTACGTAATGTTACCTTTTATCCAGGTGAGCGTATCTACCTGGATTTAATTTCTTGTATCACACCTCTGACAATTACAGGTGAGAGGAATCCTGCGCTTCCATCACCTGTAATCATCAGCGGTGTGAGGGGATTCCTGTAACCCCCCCCCCCCCTCACCTGCGATAATGAGAGGTGAGGGAACTGCTATACTGTATTCCCCTCACCTGTAACAATGAGAGAGGTAAGGGGAAGGCATGTATCCCCCCCCCCCTCACCTGTAATCACGAGGGCAGTGAGGGGACAGGTACCTCATTACTGCAGGTGAGGGGGCAATATTAATGTCATTGTTCTGGTGGAAGGAAGGAAGGAAGGAAGGAAGGAAGGAAGGAAAATAAAGAATAGTTAGAGGGGTGAAGGATAAAAGGGAAGAGAGAAAGGAAAGGATAGAGAGAGAAAAAGAGAAGGATGAGGGGGAACAAAAGGAAGGAACGATAGATAGAGAGGAAGAAGGATAAATATAAAGTAGGGAGAAGGAAGAAGGGAAAATGGTAAGGAAGAGAAAAAGAAAACAATAAACAGACAGATACACAGATAACAGAAACTAAAAGCGATTAAAAAATAAATAAAAATAAAATAAATGGGAAAGAAGTAATTAAAAAAGATAAGAAATATAAGAAAATATAAACGACTGAATCATTTAACAAAAGATAAATGGCTAAAACACTTTTTTTACACACACAAAATAACAAAAATAATATCACAATAATAAACAGGAATTAACGTATAAATAAACTCGAATAATATAGATAGATATAGTGATAAAAATATTGATTTCTTGATTTTTACTTTATTTTTAGGCACGTTGTGTTAGTTCAGGTCGGGTATTATTGACTTAACTGATGGATGTTGATATCTAGCGTGAGGGATTTTTTTTTCATGTGTGGTTTATTGTGGTTAGTTTTGTCACTTGTTTTATACTATGAAAGGAACATACATACATACATACATACATACATTACATACATACATACACTCAGAGATGGAGGCGTATCTTATAAATTATTACTACTAATAACTGCAATTACATTACCAATTACCACTTGCACGAGTAAACACGATAATTACATTCACCCATCGTCACTCGTGCCACCAATTAACGCAATTACATTTACCTGTCCACACCTGTATCGCCCCATGGATACCACATTTACATTCTCGTGACGTAACAGAATTGTCAAATATTTACACACACTCATCACACAATCAAACCTAAGAATAGCGAGTCTTGATGGCAGTAATGTGTAGGACAGACAGACAGACAGACAGACAGGTAGACAGACACAGACAGACAGGTAGACAGGCAGATAGACAGACAGACAGACAGGCAGAGACTCCATGAAACAGTTTCCTCATCGATGGGTTAAGTCAGGTTCGGCTTGGTTAAGTCAGGTTTAGCCAAGATAGTTTAAGTTAAGATTAAGTTGAGTTAAGTTAGGTCAGGTTAAATAGAGTTAAGGCTTGATTAGGGTAAGTTAGATTAGGTTAAGCTAAGTTTCATGAGGTTGGAACAAAGTGATAACAGCGTGTGTGTTTAATAGACAGGTACACCAACCCACAGATCACACAGGTAAAAGAATATGTTACCTTTGTGTTACACCTGACGCGTAGTTATTCTCTCAACCTCTGCTGCTGTGTGATTTTCATATACTCGATAAACATACTAAAGCTAACCTTACACACACACACACACACACACACACACACACACACAAAACCAGTCATTGCCCCAGAGTATGTGTGTGTGTTTGTGTGACATTAGACAATTCCTTGCAGTAGTTCCGGGTTACACTATTGCATCATATTGTATCCAGTTTACGAGTTAAGTTTTACAGCCAGCAATTGTCTTATTCACTTTAGAGATTGGGAACAAAAAAAAATTGACCCTCCTGAGTCATTCACCCTAACCAAACCTAACCTAACCTAACCTAACCTAACCAACTGTATTTGTTTACGCTGGAAGTTAATATTTCGGGGAATTTTTCCGTGTTGTGTCTTAGTTATGTCCTTTGCGTGTACAGTGGAGAGAGAGGGGTTTTTTTTCGGTATTAGAAGTGACAAATAAATATACTGAAACACTATTATCCTCTCATTCTAACTTTCCACATACGAGTGATATGGTGGTAATAAGTGCTTCTAGGACTCCAGAACTCAAGTACTCTAAGCTTCCAGGATTCCATAACTCAAGTACTCTAGACCTCCAGAACTCGAGAACTCCAATATTCTAGACTTCCGGTACTCCAGAATTCCAGTAGTCTAAGCTTCCAGAATTCCATAACTCAAGTACTCTAAGCTTCCAGAACTCCTTAACTCCAGTACTCTAAGCTTCCAGAACTCCTTAACTCTAGTACTCTAAGCTTCCAGAACTCCTTAACTCTAGTACTCTAAGCTTCCAGGACTCCAGAATTCCAGAACCCCACGACCCCCAGGACTGCAAGACTCCCTTGGCTGGTATGTTCCAGTGACGCCATACTGACTACGTGAGTGTCGGAACCCTGATATAATCTGTTATCGCTCCCTTTGTCAGCGTCAACTCGCCTTATCACTCCGAAAAATCTCTCACTGTTTTATTTAATTCTCTTTTACAACTTGAAAGGATTACGTGACCTTTTTTTCTTTCTTCTACATTTATCGTCAATTCTTCGCTTTTCTTCTTTCGTTTTCATTATCGTCTTTATTATTTTATTTTCATTCTGTTTTTTTCTATTTCGTCTTCTTTTCATTCTTCTATTTTTCTTCTTTTCCTTCTAACTCCTCTACTTTCTCTTCATCTTCTCCCTCTTATTCTTCTTCCTCTTCTTCCCACGTATTTAGTTCTCTTTTAAAACTACCAACGCAAAAAATAAACAAAACGATAATTTCAAGAAAGAATTAGATCCTTACATTATTATTCCCTCGCTTATTAATAACATGACTAATAGAGTTTTGTATATTTGGATTCCTCCCTGCCCTCTCTCCCTCCCTCCCTCTTTCCTTCTCTCCCTCTGTTCTTCCTTTTCTCTCTCCCTCCTTCCCTCTTTCCTTCTCTCCCTCTGTTCTTCCTTTCCTCCCTCCCACCTTCCCTCTATCCCTCCATTCTTCCTTCTCTCACTCTCTGTTCTTCCCTCCTTCCTTTCCCCTGTTCCCCCTTTCCTCTGACCTTCCCACCTTCTCTTCCTTCCCTCCTTCCTTCCCCTCCCTCACCCACTAGAGTTTGTTGACAGTCATACACAATAAAGTTCCTTGAAATTGTCATCGAGGAACACCCGCCACCTGCCCCTCATCGTCTCCCTCATTATCTCCCTCATTATCCCCCTCATTGTCTCCCTCATTGTCTCCCTCATTATCTCTTCTCACTTTATTCTCTAATGGGAGTTTCCTTTAATGGTAATATGTAACTATTTATATGTTGTTAGGGTGGCGGCATTGCTTCCCCACCCCACACACAATCATATCTGAAGTTTAGTGTTGGTGTAATGTTGGCATGATGTTGGCGTGATGTTGGCGTGATGTTGGCATGATGTTGGCGTGATGTTGGCATGATGTTGGCGTGATGTTGGCGTGATGTTGGCGTGATATTGGCATGATGTTGGCGTGATGTTGGCATGATGTTGGCGTGATGTTGGCGTGATGTTGACGTGATGTTGGCGTGATGTTGGCGTGATGTTGGCATGATGTTGATATCTGACTCTATAAACACACTCTAAACATCATGTGTGTGTGTGTGTGTGTGTGTGAACATCAAAAACACTTACATACAGATCGCTGAACACAAACTAGTACCTAATTATCACGTTTCTCATCAGTATAAAAATATATCTATCTTATAGGAGAATTAAATATCTAAATCAGGATTGTAGTTCGAATATTCCTACATTAAAAAACTACAAAAATATCTAAAAACTCCCACTACAGAAAGCTGATAGACTTGTTAATAAACTTCTTTGAAAACCGACAGGAGAAGAATTATAGCTTAAATAAACTAGTAATGTATAAGCCAAAACTTAATTAAACCTGAATTATTAACAATCCTTCATAAAAAAAATAGTTTGAACTGGTGTAAAGTATTTTGAAACAGGTAAGAGTTTAATTCCTTTTGTGAGTTCAAGAATGTAAACAAAACAGTGTTGAGTTATTGACACGATCTGGACCAACGGCTTGATGCATTACCAGTGGATACATACGTTATCTTTTATCAGTGTAGCTAAATTTTTATCTCAGTCTTCATAATATTATCTGGCCTGTAATGAAGTCATGAAATATTCCCTTAAAATAATGTAGACACCAGATAAGACCCAAACAATCGGTGAGGTGTTAAGTATTTGCCTAATGACTAATCTTATCTCACATCGCTGAGCTCCCCAGACACACCAACACACAGTATGTCTTCCCCTGCGGGTCATCTCTCTCAGTCTTACCTGGTCTTGAGTCTGAAGGAGGAGTTAGGATCTGGGTCCCATTGGTGGGTAGTGGCGACTCTCCCCGCGGCCATCCTCCTCACGTGCAGAAGTCTTGGCTGAGAACTGTAGGTGTAGACGTAGAGTTTGTCCTCCTGTGGCACCCACACCTCGCTGGTAGATCCTCCCTTTCCTGCCTTATGTGGCACTGACGATTTAATAGACATGGATACCTTTCTTGGTTTTCCTTTTTTCCTCCTCACGCCGCGGCCCTTCTTCCCTGCAGTATTGGGACGAGTGATGTCGTGGTAGTGGATGTCCGGCATGGATTCCGCCTTGCTGATGGGCTGAGAGTCGTCTTCTATCTGAGAGTCAGCCTGAGAGTTGTGACCTTCAGACCTGAATGTGTCCAGCACTACCGCGGAGTCGCCGTCCCCGGAGACCGGAATGTTGACAGGAGGAAGTTCCAAGGATTCACCTAAAGTGTCCTCCTGACGTGCTTGAGAATCTCCATCTTTATTATCTGCCTCTGTTTGCTCCACATCATTTTTTTTATCTAGATCTTCTATTGATTTTGGGTTTAGATTTCTGGCTTTGAATTTCCTAGCTTCCGATAGGTTATTCCTCGGCTGTGTCCCTTCCGGCCGACTCGCTCCCTGTATCGGCGTCGGTCTCCACGAGATGGGTTTCCTGTTGGTCAGTGCTTTGGTCGCATCGTATTTCTTCGACATGGGCGTCTTCTTCACCTCCACCTCCTGTTTTCTTGGGGTTCTCGCGGCTATATTTTTTCTCCCTCTTCTGTACGTGCCAGGGATCTTTGCAATGGCTGGTATTTCTTTGATCTCTTCCTCTTCTTCTTTATTAGCTTCCTCTTTTGATTCACTTTCGACATCACCAGTTGCTGCTTCTTCGCCAGTCACTTTCTCTGCACTATCATCTACTGTATTTTCCATGGCACCTTCCTCCTCACCACCACCTTCACCATCATTATCATTATTGTCTTCCATGTCCTCTCCGTCGTCAGCCTTGTCTTCCTCCATGTCAAAACCTGCCCTCGCCTCGTCTTCACCATGCTCCTCAACATCCAGCATTACTCCATTATCCTCGTCTTCGTTCGTCTGTTCTGTCTCATTTACTAAGTCAACGTTTGTTTCTTCCTCTCCTTCTTTAATTTCATCTTCGGTATCTTCTGTCTTTACTTCTTCCTCTTTATCTGGTTCTTCTGCTTCAGGTTCATCATTCTCCGCCACCGTCATGTCTTGTAATTCGTTCCTCATCAGAGAGAGATCAGCCGTGGTGCCAAGTCCTGCGTCCCTAGAGAGGGTGAGGGAACCGTGTGAGCTCGCTGCCAGAGAGTTGGGTTCATCCATGTCCCCGTGGTAACCGATAGCAGCATCTCTAAGGTACTCTGCCTCCTCCTCCTGTTCTTCTACTACTGTTTCCATATCTGTCGTTATGTCTTCACCTTGCTCTGCTAAATCAAGGTGTTCTTGCTCTATCGTGTTGTCAGCATTACTGCCCTCTGTGTCAGGAGCACCACTGTCAGCCTCCTCAGTGCCAGTTGCTTCCAGATCTGAGCGAGAGGTCAAGGCGGGGGTTGCTGCTGCTTCCTCCTCGTCGCCATTAATACTTCCTCGTCCTTCATCGTCTTCCATTTCCTGGCCAGTTTCTCTGGTGTCAGTTTTATCGCCGTCGTCTCTGTCTTCTATCTCAAGGTCTTCGTCTTTTTCACCATTGCTGCTGATCCCTTCATCTTTGCTGAGGTTGCTGCCGGCCGATACACCCCTCGAGTCGTCTTCATCTTTCACGGCCTCCTCTGGCTCCTCCACTTCTCCGTCTTTCGTCTCGTTTTCATCAGTTGTCACCTTATTACTCCTTATCAATCCGTCACGTTTCCCTTTTGACTTCTGCTTCTCTATTCTCTTGCTCCTCTGTTCTGACAGGTAGTCCTTGTGTTGCGGGTTTCTGTTAACCATAGTGACGTTCTTCTTCTCCTCTCTTCCTCTCCTGCCCTTGAGGTCCGGGGGCCTGACCTTCCTGAAGCGGGTCTTCCTGGTCTGTTTAGTAGAAGGCACAAGAGCGTCACTCCCGGTGTCCTCGGGGCCATCGTGAGCCACAATGGACACGAGAGACTGTGTGACCTCACTCACTGCGACGTCAGCCATAGTTTGTTGTGGCTATTGCCTTCACACGCGGGTTAAGACCATCCCCAGGGGCTCGTCACCGTGTTCTCCCATCATATCACTCTGCTACCACCTGACAGACAACTGATTATTGATAAAAGAATCCTAATAAAAAACTGACGAAAAAAATATATAGCTCAAATGAAATCGATATATTATCCTCAGCCAGTCATCATGGCACCTCAGGCAACCTGTGTCTTGCCCTCATTCGCGGTGCCAGAGCTGGAGCGTCACGGAGGAGTGTCGTGAGTGCGGCAGCCCAAGGTGCATGTGCTAATTACCTCCGCTACCGACACTGCTAATTGTTGCGCCGCCTTCAGGGCTCTCAGTGAGGCAGCGTCCTAGACCTCTCTCACTCCTCCAAGGGCTCCCGAGCTCTCACAACCCGGGTCAATTATTGGCTCCTGGCTCCTTAGCGACCGGTTGTGTTTACGTTTCTTCTCGTTGCGTAAACTGTAGGTCGTAACACTTATGTGACGTAGTATAGTGTGTTTGTTTTTCTTTTCTTTTTTTTAGTTTGGTTTAACAAGTTTTGGGAAATTTTCAACTGTTGTAATAGAAAAACTTGACACTTTGATATATTGAACCAGACGTGAGGTTTCCACATATAACTTTTTCTTTTATATATATGTCACCACTCAAACGTCTTAGAACAGGTGTATATACGACTTATACAGATATATAAGCTGGTAGAGTGACAGGCGTGTCTCTTCCCCTCTACCGTCAAGGAGCGACTGAGGCATGCGGGGCGAGGTTCGGGCTCGTGACGGTTGTAATGTCACTTAATACCGCCAGGTGGCACCTCAAGTGGCCGCCAGCATTCCTGAAACCGACCGTCACGCGGAATTTATCTCGTAGTAGAGCTAAAACTTCCCTTGGGCCACTTACAGGAAGTTTTACCTTAAATAATGAAGATTCCGCGGACCGTAATGACTGAACGTTAATGATTCACACCAACACACGACCCACATACACCTGCCTCTCACAAACACCCGGGAAGGTATAACTCAATATATCGAGTCCTTTAGATACTCCACGTCGATACAGATAACACCTCTCACGGCAACCAGTAGCACATGTTTCAATAATATACACAAGTGACGTTTTAAATGAAAGGTAACTGTACGCCAGGTAGACAAGCCCTCGTTAAGACAGACAGGTGGGAAATTCAGGTGTTTTTCGTAGGTGAGAGGGAGCGAGGTGTCGTGTCCGGAGCTGAGGGTTTCGTTGCATGAACTAACATGGTCGCTAAGTGATGAAAACATGCATGAGTGATACAGCGAGTGACGGGGGAGGATATTTGAGTGGCAGGTTAAGATAACTCGTCGAAGGTTATCATGTGTGTGTGTGTGTGTGTGTGTGTGTGTGTGTGTGTGTGTGGTAGGCCGCCTGTTGCACTAGTGTGTAGGGGTGGAGGCGGGATAGACCTGGATAAGAGAGAGGTCGCCATTATCCCAACAAGGGCTGCGTGACTGTGAGTGACTGAACAATGTCGAGGTCACGGTAAAGGGCGACTAATAACACAATATAACGCGAGAACTGACCCACTACCTTCCTGAGACCAGCTCATACCAGAAACACCACCGCGATAACAGGAAAGGAAGAGGAGTACCAAGAACAGACCAATACCAGATAATACCAGCTGGAAGAGATTGATACCAGGTAGAGAGAGATAGATGAGAAGAAATTACACCATGCTAGAGATCTCTGATTATACGGGTAGGTTGAGTTATAGGATTATTTACGGGTTATATAACCTGATTATATTAGATTTTGTCTGTAAATCATTTAACTCAGCCGTTTCTAGAGATTCTGTTCGTATTTTATTTTGACAGAACAGAGAGAACGAAAGGGAGGAACAAGAACAAACAGATGAACAAAAGAAAATAAACAGAAGAACAAAATAAAAAGAATCAAGTAACAAAAACATGAAAAATTTAGTAAATAGAACAAAACAGAACAATCAACAAGAAGATAATAACAAGAACACGTAAGATACATAACAACAACAGAACAATAACAATAACAAATCACAACATAAACACAGAGGCAGTAATGGTGTCAAGGTGTAGTTGTTTAGTAATCATCCCAAACAACACTAATTGATGATATAAACACGGTAAACTAGTCCCCTGGTGTACGTGTTCTTGATGCCACGGACATTATACGCATCACTTTCCTCTCACAACTAACTAAATTTACCAATGTACTTGATTAACACACAAGTACCTAAAAAAAAACAGACATTGGTGTAAAGTCTACCAATATACGTGACAAATTAAACTATATTAACAAACACTAAATTCAACATCATTTATAATTATCATTAACTTTATTTTCACTACAAAATCTAACTCCAATATAAAATTACCAAAATGAGGTGATTACAAGCTACGAAAGATAATCCTAAGTTGATAAATTACCTTTGATTACGTTTATTAACTCAGTGGGTTATAATTACAAGGAGTTGTTGACAGTCAGAATGTAAACAAGAAGGACACGGTGTTGCTCGACCTGTAAACAAACACACACACACACACACACACACACACACACACACACACCACACACACACACACACACACACCCCACACACACATACACATACACACGCACACTGCTAAAGCCCTTCTCAGCCTTACGCCAGGAGATTGTGTATAAGTCTACGGTATCACCCACCCATGTTTCATTTACTCTGCCCAATAATTCCACGTGAGTTACAATCATGTCTTAATAGGGTCATGTCTTAATAGGGTCATGTCTTAATAGGGTCATATCTTAATAGGGTCATGTCTTAATAGGGTCATGTCTTAATAGAGTAATTTGGACTTAATAGAATTGGGTTTTTTTACGACTTGGCTATTAGAAATGATATACGACTAAGGGCCTATTAGAAATGATATACGACTAAGGGCCTATTAGGACTATTAGAACTGGTGGCTATTACAATAGGTGTCTTGCCTCTGCGTTGTAACTAAGTTCCACATAGTAATTTGTGATAATGAACGAATATTTTAAGTACCATTTCATTGTAAATATTTATCATGGTAAAGTTGTTGTTTTTTTACTTTGATATAGAGTGAATAACATTTTGTGTGTGTGTGTGTGAGTGTGTGCGTGTGTGCGTGTGCGTGTGTGTGTGTGTGTGTGTGTGTCACCTGTTATCATCGTCTTACACCATGAAGGTCAGATTCACACGTTATGACCTCCTGGCTACCTGGTGTTGTTACCTGTGTAGGGAGCAACATATCACCTGGCCAGGGACGATACGACGGAGAATAATCTTGTTAATAATAATAACTACCTCACATCATTATTTATCTTCATATCAAAATTAAACACCATTTCTCCTCTGTAAATATAATCAGTAAGGAAATAAAATAATGTAATGGTTAAAAATTTCTATAAAAATTAAAAAAAACTCTTGATTTTTATAAACAAGATAAGGCAAAATTCCTTGTGATTTTCTCCTTGGTGTAATTTTGTCTCGTGTCTTAAGAACGGCCAGAAATAATCACTTTAAATACGTTGGAAAAATGAATATGTAAACCAGAATGTTGTTGGGATATAACGTCACAATATGATGACCTAACAACCTGAGTACGATGACTTAACCCCTTGATTAAGACGTCATAACTCATTATAAACAACTTCCTCTTCCCTTGAGTAAGACGACACTGTTCACGGAAGTCTTATTCATCATAATCAAAGACTCAAAAGAAAGGAGACTCCACATGTGATCAGCTCAAAGTGTATTGTATCAGGGCAGTCAACCACCTCGGGAAGGACCACCAATCCCTTTAACAAGACAGTCACTTCCCGACAGTACAAAATACTTCCCTATCATGAGTGACTTATGTACTTTCCAACACTAGGTGACAACACAAAAATGACTCCGCAAGACCGCACCATTAATCTCAAAATTACCCTGAAATATGAAAATCGATTCCTTAAAACACCAAGATTTATGTCTAGATCGTTGTCTAATGTCTATCTCTATGTCTAAGTCTACGTACGTTAATATAGAGTATGTGTGTATATATGTATCGAGCAGTAAACCTGTGAGGAGCTGTTTATTTGAGGGGTAGGATCTAGGTCAATATATAACACACCTCACATCAGGGTGATCACTCCCGTAACTCTCCTCGGCACCGTACAAGAGACACAAGGTCGAGGAACAGAGGGCCAGATGTAGGTCGACCCTCCCAGGCCTTTGATGTACGAGAGAAGAAGGGAAGAATATACTCGTGGCATGATAGGTACTCGTGACATGATAGGTACTCGTGGCATGATAGGTACTCGTGGCATGATAGGTACTCGTGGCATGATAGGTACTCGTGACATGATAGGTACTCGTGGCATGATAGGTACTCGTGACATGATAGGTACTCGTGACATGACAGGAGTAGCTTGAGAGTAAGAGAGCGCATGAGAAGAGGAAATAAAAATGAGTTTGTAGAAAGAAGAAGATTTAGAGAGAAGTAAACGGGAGAAAAGGAGAACAGGAGAACAAAATAAACAATAATGAGAAAGATGTGATTCTTAGAAGGACATGAGTGAGAAAATAACTACTAGAAGAATGAGGACTGAGAAACAAGGCGATGAGAAATAATAACGGGGAACAGACAAACTACCTAACCTAACCTAACCTAACCTAACCTAACCTAACCTAACTTAAAAACTCCGTATGATATTTTTTTTAGATCAATTTTTTTCTTTTAAGATGGACGAATTAATGATTTCTTATTCCTCATGTAAACAAAATAGGAACTAATGGAATATGTCTTTTAACAATCTGTCATGTGGGGACCTTCAGGACGTGTTTACAAGGCAGTGAATAATGTGGGGTGGTGCTCGATACTAATGCGATTAAGGTGGTGGTAATTATGAGGACTTAGTTTGAGTTTACCTGGTGAGATATTGGCCTGTTAGAGAGAGAGACCTTTAGATGATATACCAAACAGTGCATGACAGGAGTGTACTTCCTGACAGTATAACAAATTACTTCTCATGACAGCGTATGACACACCCCTCCAATTGACACTTAAACTTGATATACTGTACAGACAAATAACGTCACCTTGGAATGGCAAAGTCGATAACTATTTTAATGAAAGGTCAAAGTGCAGATCCTCTAGAAAATTAGCTTGGCGGGTGACGTCACAGGTTGGGAGTGACGTCATAGTTTGGGAGTGATATCATAGGTTAAAAGAATGACGTCATAGGTCGAGGTAGAATTTTACGAGCCTTACAAGATGAGGTTGAGGGAGAGATGAACTGCTTAAGCCTGAGATAATTTACAGTCGACCTCACTCATCAGCACACACACACACACACACACACACACACACACACACACACACACACACACACACACACACACACACCTAACAGTTAAAAAATAATAAAAAAATTAATAACGTCGAACACATTATGGTATTCACACTTAACCTAACCTCCAAAACCTCCAAAACCTAACCTAACCAAACCTAACCTAACCATCCCATTCACACATCCTCAATAAGTAAGAGAAATCCCACAAGCACATCCTGGTAATATAAACAGCTAGGGTGTGTAGGAATCTGTTCAGTAATGTGAGGGTGAAGGGAAGGGGGGGGTGACAGTTCCCAGAAGTAGCCCCAAGCGGTACTCGGTATGCTGGTTCAGTCGATTAGTTGCTGGTTCATCCACAGTGGTGTTCGATGTTCCTTTGGTTTTCGTCAGTAATAATAATATATAATAATAGTAATAATAGCTACGATGATACTGGTTATAAAAGGATTAATAATAACACGATAATAATAACAATAATGATAACAATAACTACAACAATAAAGACAATAATGACCACAATAACAACGACAAATATCAACAATAATAGCAACAAAAATAACAACTACAAAACAACAAAATTTATAACAACAACTAACAACGACATTAACAACAAGAACAACCACAACAACAATAATCACAACAACTACAAAAACTAATAATAAGCAAAAATAATAGAAATGTTGCTACTAAGACTACAACTACGAATGATATTAATAGCAAAAAAATAAGAACAATAACAATATTTTATGATCGTGGCAAAATACACTGAGCATAAACATTACTTTACACTCTACTCCAAATATAGCTGCCTAACCTAACCTAAACCAACCTAACATAAACCAA